GCCTGGGGGAAGAGTGGGAGGTTGGAGAGGAGAAAGGAGCCGAACTAAAAAACCCAGCTCTGCTGAGACTCCGCGGGAAACATGATGACTCAGGGCCCATGGGCGCACACTGTTGGGGCTGCAGTTTGATGGGAAATGGAAGAAAGAGCTGCAGGTTTCAGACATCTAAAGCCAGGTGCAGCTCCACAGGTCCTGGGGTGAAACAAGCCGCGCCACCGCGAGGATCCTTCAGAATCTGTCATTTCGGTCTTAGCAACAGCTGCAAAAACTTTCTTTGCGACACCTCCGTGGGTGTCCCCGCTCCTTAGGATGGGGACTTCCTCTCTGCCCAGTATGGAAGAATCACTACTATCCGCTCTTTCGCCCGCTTAGAGGCGCTTAAGTATACAGTAACGAAGATCTGGGAGGAAATAGGAGCCGGTTCTCCGTAGGGCTCTCGCTTGGCTACCGCATCGGTCCTGCGGCGCCCCGCATCCGTCCCGCTGGGTCTCCGAGCAACTGCGAGGCCCCCCGTGGCCCCACTTCCCACCTCATTTTGGTTTCTCTGCATTTCGAAGGGTGCTGCTAGCGCTGGGTTCCCCTTCTCTCCTCTTTGTAAGCCAGTCCCCAAATTCGCCCCTCCCTCAGACTCCTTTCCGCCAGGGGGCGCCTCTGGAGTTAGGGGAGGGTAAGTGTTAGGCTTGAACTGTGAAGCATGAAAATAGGCAGGTTTTGAGACCACTGGTGTCAACCTCTTGGAGGGCTTCCCCTGACAGAGGAAAGGGTTCTTCACACCAGAGGGCTCAGTCGGGGAGGTAGAGGGGGGGGACACACTGTTCTTCTGCAGGACTTTGGCCTTCACGTGCAGGACCTCGCATCCATTCAAACTCCAGAGTGCGCCATGCAGGGAGAAGGCTGCACGGGAGCCGCGCCCTTACCTAAGACCTCATCCCCCAGTGCCTGTCCAGAAGACAGTGCTTGAGGAGAGCGTCCCCAACAGGAAGGTAGCCCACAAATACCCTAGACGGTCAGGCTGAGGCGGTGAGCAGTGGAAAGAACGTGCCTTAGCCCCGACCTCCGAATCCCTTCCTCACGGTGATGCTGCGAAAACCTCCTCGAGGAAGCCGCCTGACTGCAGTTCCGTGCACTTCGCTCGATCCTCGAGAGATTCCCATTCTGGTGCCTGGGAAAAGCGCACAGAGGGATCTTGTGAGATCCTTCAGGGGGAGGAAGACGCCCTTCTGAGGGGCCTCCGGGTCCTGTCTCCATTCCTTGCATCTCAGGATTGGAGAGCAGCAGCCCCCAGAGCTCTGCTTTCCCCTCTCTGGAGTTGCCTCGACGGCCCCCATAAAGCCAGCTCAGCCTTGCTCTAGAGCCTGCACCTTGCTGAAGAAGACGCCCTCCGCGGGCCTGGGCGCGGGAGCAGCTCCAATGCTTAGTTAGAGCCTGAATTCACAGTTTCTATAACTCCAAGATACAGAGCCAGAAGTAATAACCCCTTCCGTTTACTAGCGATTTTGATGATTTACAAACTCACACAGATCTCATCCTTAAATATTTGGATCCCCAGTACAACCTGGAAGATACACGGGGCAAGTTATGAACATTTTTGCTCAGGAGTCAGATGCCAAGAGACTTTGTTCCCTTCACCCAACATTTCTTGAGGCACTGGAGGATTCAAGGATAAATAAAACAGGGTCTTATTAAGGCATTGGAGGATTCAAGGATAAATTAAAATAGGAAGAAAGGACCCAGAACACTAAACCCTTGCTTACTCTGGCTGTGATGGGACCAGCTCCCGGGTGTGGTGGAAATCTACAAGAGCTACACCACAGCTACAAAGTGGTAAAGTCGGCGCTGGAACCCCTGGACTCTGCTGCTCAATTGCATTGCGCATGACCCCTGAGTGCTTGAAGATCGAAAAATTATTCAAAAATCCACACACAAACCTTCATTACAACCTGCATCTACCTTGTTTTAAGTCTGGATTTTCAGGCATAGCACAGAGCCTGGCACAACTCAAGTATTTGTTTAATGAAATCACCAGTTGTGATAAAACTCTGAGCAAAGTAATACCACCGGAAAGCATGGTGCTCACCGCCCTAGGAGAGGTGAGAAGGACCATGGAGAAAATTAGAAAAATGGGGGAAAGAGGGAATTCTCAACCCCCACACGGTCAGAGCTACAGACCCCTAACTGGCCTTCTAAATGAGCCCTCTCTTCTAAATTCTCAAAGTGTCCCTGGAGGGAGAGAAGAGTATTTCCCTTCGGCCAGGCGGGTGGGTGTTGAGCATAGGCTGTTGGCAATGCCCTGCGTCCCGCCCGCCCCGGCCTGTGCCTCCGGGGCTGCAAGATTCTGGGCCGAGCGAAAGCCAGCAAAGCAGAGCGGGGCCGGGATCGAGGAGGCCTTGTGCGGCCGCGCCAGCGAAAGCTCCCTGAGAGGCCAGATATGGACGGTTTCCTGCCGCTGCCCAACCACTCCCGCCCCACTCGGGAGCGAGTTAGTTCAGGGATAAAGGGAGACGCGCAGACCCCATGGGGTGGACTCAGGATTCCCAGTTGTCCCTGCAGCCATGGAGAAATTACTGGTTTAACTAGGGTGACCACTCTATCTGAGATGAGTCCCGTGGCGGCTGAAATAAAGGACACTCTTTGGTCAGGAAGAGGTGTTGGGGTCAGAGGAATGAGTCTAAAGGCCTTTGCTTGGAGACGCCCGGAGATATGCCTGTCCGCCTTTTCTCCTCACGACGCTTTGGTCTTCAGGCTTATTCTTGGCAGTTCAGCGCACATGGAAAGTGCGGAACGCTGTGCATAGACGAAGGGGCAAGGGTCCAAGAGGCACAGGGACGACTGCAGCAGGGCGCTACAGAGGCCCAGGCGAGGTCTGGGCGCGAGCAGGTGCTGGTGCGCACGCCTGTGGGAGGAGGTTGCAGCCCAATCTTGGTTACGCGGAAAGGCTGGCGCAGGAGCCTTTGCACGAACCCGCACCTCCAGTTCCCGCTACTGCTTAGCTCCGTGATCTATCACCTGCTGCGTAGCTCGGAGGTCCTGGTCGTGACTGTGGGCCTAGAGTGGGGCTGGGGAGCTGCCAGCCACGTGCGCCCGGGCCTAATGTGGAGCTGGAGTGAGGCGAAGGAAAGAGGAGGCACAGCTCCGGGACTGCAAGATGCACCCAACTCTTCCCTTTACTCAGATACAGGGCCTTAAAAGGTGAGAGTAGGGGAATACTAATGACAGCAATACGGAAATCTCCAGCGCTGTCGCTGAACTTAAAAAAAATTCCAAAGCTTTCAAAGCACTTTCATGTGCCAGATACTTTTGAATCTCACAAAACCCTGGAAAGAATTACCTCATTTCTAAATGGCGTTGAAACTGGGACAGACACACAACGTTCTACACTTGGTGTTTCTTACACTCACCAATAATAAAAAATAATGGAGAGGGAGGGAGAAAACAAAGACAGGTGACTGGGAAACCCACCCCACACAGGCATTACGATCTCAGTCCAAACACTGGCCCAGCGCTGCTTGCAGACAAGATCTGCATTGTTTTGTTCACTCTCCTCCTCGACTGCTCACTCGAGCCCGGCGCCGTCTTCCCTCCTTGTTTCCTGGGCTTAGACATCAATCACATTGACCATAACGCGATTGATGGGGCCTCAGAGCGCCCCCCAGAGAAGTCCCTTGGAAGGAGCCGGCTTGGCACCTGTCTTTCGCAGCACACCGGACAAGCTCGTCTCCGCGCCCAGAGGCAGGGTTGCCTGCCCCAAGCCGCCAAGGGGGCGGCCGCACGAAAACGTGGGTCCGCTAGGGGGGTTGGGGGGCGCCCTGGGCTTTCTCTCCCCCTTGTAAAGGACGTAGGTGGTGAGGAGAGCGTATATAAGTTGGCTTTGTAATGAGGGAGTGCAGAGCACTCCTCATGGAGAGGATTGAAATCTTAAAATAAAAGGCCAATAAATAAAACAACTTTCCCTACTACAATTGCTATTAATGGAAAGGGCGCCTAACCTGCTGAATTAAATCGTTCGAAAGTGCCTGTTCATCATCGGGAGCTCCTTCTCCACAAGGAGGGGAGAGAAAATATGAAAACAAAAACCAAATTCGAGAAGCCTCCTTAACCGGCCCCCGCAGTGTCTTAGAGGCCCCTGCCCTGCCGGGGAGCGCTCCGCCCTCCCAGCCCCCAGCGCGGAGAGGAGGCTAAAACAGCCAAAGAGAAAACAGAACAACAAAACGTTTAAAATCCGACTGAGAAAGTCGGAGTGGGTCTCAGAATCTGCTGCCTGGGACTCAGCTCTGGCTCCTTAGTCCACTCGGCTGGAGGCCCGGGCCTGGCCGGAGTGGATCCGCGGCGGAGGCCTCCCGCCCGGTTGGGGAGCGCAGCCCACAGCTCCCCCTCTCCAGGCGCCCAAGGACCCTTCAAGGCCCTGGGCTCACACTTGAAGCCTGGGAACGCGCGGACAGGAAACCCACTTCCTCCTAAGCAGTTTCTTGCTCTCCGGATGAGAGGCGCCCAATTGAAGCAGAATGATCCTCATCTACTAATATCCAGCGTGGCCACAAAGCGACTGGCCATTTATGCCCCCACTTTAAACAAAGATATTTGGTTATTCCCGGGGAAGCAAGTGCACTTTTGCATGGCTGAGCTCCGGGAGGAGGCGAGCCTCAGCAGAGCCTACCGCCCGCCAGGCTGCTCGCGCCTCCGGATTCGCCCCTCCCGGCCAGCTGGTCCCGCCGGGGTTCAGGCTCAGTTCCGCCCCGCAACAGGCGGGCGGGCACTCACGACGCTCCCTGCCCGCGCCCTCCTTGAAGCATCAGAGGGGATAACAGCGTGGCCCTGGGCTCAGGTGCTGGGGCTGTGATGTCCTCGGAAAGTCAGCTCCAGCCCCAGAGCCCTGCGTGTCCGGGAGATGGGCGAGGGTCGGGGACACCAGGTTTGTTCGAGGTGGGGCAACTTCAGTGATGGTCCCTCGCGTTAGTGCCCCCCAGCCTTGCAGTTTTGGCGACCAGTGCTGTGCTTGTCTTGGCCTGGGGTGGGGGTGGGGAAAGGGAGCCGCGTGTGGGTTAGGGGGGGTCATGATGCAGAGGGACCGGGCCCACTGTCAGGGCCCTGAGCTGGGAGGAGGAGGACGCCGGGATCTGGGGCAGCCTCTCGGAAGCAGCCGATCCCCTGCTTAGCGCCCCCTCTGCCGGCTGGGATTCTCCCTCGGGTAGGGGGAAAGGGGGCGGGGAGCAGAGGTGTCCCTCTGACGGCGACAGAAGAGGCAGACAGACAGACACGCAGACCAACAGTGCGGCCCCAGGGTTCGTCCCCAGACTCTCAAGCTCATTCGGTGGCGACCGGGGCTCTGCGCCGCGAAGCCGGATGTGGTCCGGAGGCAGTGGGAAGGCGCGGGGCTGGGAGGCCGCGGCGGGAGGGAGGAGCAGCCCCAGCAGGCTCAGGTGAATCCCCCACCCTGTCCCTTGGCCCCCGCCCTCTAAAGACCTGTCCCCGCCGGGGAACCCCGACTGTTTTGGAAAGTGGTTCGCAACTTCGCAAGTTGGTTGCAAAGCAGCATTCACCTTGCTTCCTCCCCACCATCCCTCCTCCTCGGCTACTCCCCACCCCACCTCTTGCCCTCCCCTCTCTCGGTTCCCTCCTTCTTTCCCTCCCCGCCTCCCCCCGCGCGCCGCTCGCACCCCACAAAAAATAGGGTGGGGGTGTCCAGAGGAGGGGGAAAGAAATGCTTTAGGTCGCTGTCTCTGCCGCTCTCTCTCCCTCCCTCCCTCTCTGAGACCTAAAAATCCTGACAAGTGAAACTTAAAGGTGTTTACCTTGTCATCAGCATGTAAGCTAATTATCTCGGGCAAGATGTAGGCTTCTATTGTCTTGTTGCTTTAGCGCTTACGCCCCGCCTCTGGTGGCTGCCTAAAACCTGGCGCCGGGCTAAAACAAACGCGAGGCAGCCCCCGAGCCTCCACTCAAGCCAATTAAGGCGGACTCGGTCCACTCGGTTACGTGTACATCCAACAAGATCGGCGTTAAGGTAACACCAGAATATTTGGCAAAAGGAGAAAAAAAAAAGCAGCGAGGCTTCGCCTTCCCCCTCTCCCTTTTTTTTTTCCTCCTCTTCCTTCCTCCTCCAGCCGCCGCCGAATCATGTCGATGAGTCCAAAGCACACGACTCCGTTCTCAGTGTCTGACATCTTGAGTCCCCTGGAGGAAAGCTACAAGAAAGTGGGCATGGAGGGCGGCGGCCTCGGGGCTCCGCTGGCGGCTTACAGGCAGGGCCAGGCGGCACCGCCGGCTGCGGCCATGCAACAGCATGCCGTGGGGCACCACAGCGCCGTCACCGCCGCCTACCACATGACGGCGGCGGGGGTGCCCCAGCTCTCGCACTCCGCCGTGGGGGGCTACTGCAACGGCAACCTGGGCAACATGAGCGAACTGCCGCCGTACCAGGACACCATGCGGAACAGCGCCTCAGGCCCCGGATGGTACGGCGCGAACCCAGACCCGCGCTTCCCCCCCAGTAAGTGAGGCCGCCCCGCTGCGGGGCCGCGGGCTGAGCGCGGGAGGTGCGGGGAGAGCCTCCGGGAAGGCGCCGCGCCTGCAGGCTGCACGCTGGGCATCAGGGTGGGCGGCCCGGCAGCGGCGCCAGGGAGTCGGGGCGCGGGAGCTGGGAATTCCTCTCCGCTGGGCTGAGGGATCCGAGCAGACACTTAGTAGCGTTGGAATACTGCGGGCAGGTACTAGTATTCTGCGTCTCCCAGATACTGCCTGGGGGCAGCTTTGCTCCGCGCAGAGACCTCGGAGTGCCGAGGGAGGCAACCCCACCCCCAACTAAGGGAGCCAGGGCAAGCGGGGCGCTAAGAGGCGCGGCCTGGCGGGGTGGGAGGCTGCCCTGCTGCGACGCGCTCAGGCGTCCGGCCCGCCGGTCCCGCTAGTGTCCTCACTGGGCTGACACGAGGGAGCGGCCAGGAGGCAAAGCGTCTGGGGGGCTCTACCTTTCAAAAGTGAACACCTCCCTCCCCTGAACTCCCAAAGTTGGGGGTCTACCGTAGGACGGCAGCTCCTGGTCTGGGCCCCGTTCGCCGCCTGTGGCCCCGCTAAGCCCGAGACTCTGGCGGGGTTGGGCAGAAAGGAAGAGGAGCGGCCTTTCCCCACTGCGTGTTTTGGGTGGAGCATTTAGACTAAGCGCGATAGCCGGGGTTGAGGAGGGGAGCTCTCCAGTAACCCCTCGACGGCCTGTCCTGGGGCCAACGCTAGCGATCCCAGGCGGCGGGGCCTCTCAGCGCCGAGGTGGCCTCGGTGAGGAGAGCGCCGTCGGGGCGGACTGGGCCGGCCAAGCGCGCGAGAGGCACAGGTGGCCTGGCCCGGCCCGGCCCCGGCCGACCCTGTGCGTTTGTCGCTTACAGTCTCCCGCTTCATGGGCCCGGCGAGCGGCATGAACATGAGCGGCATGGGCGGCCTGGGCTCGCTGGGGGACGTGAGCAAGAACATGGCCCCGCTGCCAAGCGCACCGCGCCGGAAGCGCCGGGTGCTGTTCTCCCAGGCGCAGGTGTACGAACTGGAGCGGCGCTTCAAGCAGCAGAAGTACCTGTCGGCGCCTGAGCGCGAGCACCTGGCCAGCATGATCCACCTGACACCCACTCAGGTCAAGATCTGGTTCCAGAACCACCGCTACAAGATGAAGCGTCAAGCCAAGGACAAGGCGGCCCAGCAGCAACTGCAGCAGGACAGCGGCGGCGGCGGGGGAGCCGGATGCCAGCAGCAAGCACAGCAGCAGTCGCCGCGCCGCGTGGCCGTGCCGGTCCTGGTGAAAGACGGCAAACCCTGCCAGGCGGGCGCGCCCGCTCCTGGCACCGCCAGCCTGCAAGGCCACGCACCACAGCAGGCGCAGCAGCAGGCGCAGGCCGCGCAGGCAGCGGCGGCGGCGATCTCAGTGGGTAGCAGTGGCCCCGGCCTGGGTGCACACCCAGGTCACCAGCCGGGCAGCGCGGGCCAGTCTCCGGACCTGGCGCACCACGCCGCCAGCCCCGCAGCGCTGCAGGGCCAGGTCTCCACCCTATCCCACCTGAACTCCTCGGGCTCGGACTACGGCACCATGTCCTGCTCCACCTTGCTATATGGTCGGACCTGGTGAGAGGACGCCTGCCGGGCCTAGCCCAGCGCGCTGCCTCTTCGCTTCCCCTCCTGCCCGCCCCACACCACCAACCACCCGCAGCTCCATGCGCTTCGACTTTTCTTAAGAACCTGCCCCGTTTAGACCAAGGGAAAAAAACACAAAGGCCAAACTGCTGGACGTCTTTCTTTCTTTCTTTCTTTCTTTCTTTCTTTTTTCCTTAAATTTGTGGGGTTTTTTCCAAGAAAATAAAAACAACCAAGCAAATCCAATTATTTAAGGAATCTTTAAACAGAGAAGGACACAACAAGAACAGCTTTGGGGGTGTCACTTAGGTGACTCAAATGGGTTTCCCACGCTTGGGCGGGGTACAGTTTGGAGAGGGCTCTAACCGCTGACAGGCTCTGGACTCCAAAGATCGCAAATTTCATTATGGGTTACACTATGCCAGCAACGTGGACTCTCTTGTAAATACCAAGATCTCTTTCAAAGGAGAGAGGAGGGCTGGGGAAAGACTCCCACAGAACCTACTAGTCACTGACACAAAGGAAATGTCCCCTCCTAGAGCCCTCTGGCCACCCAGGCTCAACCTGGACTGGCCCTGGCTAAAACTGTTTTATGTTTGATGTAAACTTGTAGCTGTAAAACGCTGTCAAAAGTCGGACTAAACACCTAGTTTTTAGTAATCTGTACATTCTGTTGTAAAAAAAAATGACCCCAGTCCCCATCCCCAGCCCATCATATTTTTTATGGGCATTGACAAATCTGTGTATATTACTTGGCAGTTTGGTATTTGCAGCGTCAGTCTTTTTTCTGTTGTAACTTATGTAGATATCTGGCTTAAATATAGTTCCTAAGAAGCTTCTAATAAATTATATGAATTAAAAAGATTCTTTTTCTGATTAAAAAATCCACCTTTTATTTGGTTTTGATTTGGCTTTAAATGGCATTTGGGAGGGGTTTCATTGCTTGTCTGATGGGATTTGAATTGTTTGGGGCTCAAAGGCTCAAAAGCTAACTGGCCCCAGGGTCCTTGCCCCACGGGAAGAGGGAGTTTTGTTCTGCTTCCAAATTGAGTAGAGCTAAACTTTGAACAATTCTGGGAGTCAGCAATAGAGAAGAGAGAAGCTAAACTACTTCCAGTAGGCGGGAAAGAGAGAAAGGTAGAGAATGACACCAAAGGACTAGTTTTCAGGACCGGCCTTCAGGGTTTTTTTGGAAACGCCCTAAGTATCTATCATAATCTTGTACAGATGAGCCCACATTTTAAAAGTCAGCCAGGAAGACCATTTTAACTCTTAATAAGTGATGATTGCTGCTAAACGGATTGCTTCTGTCCATTTAAACATTGATACTTTATTTTTAATCTGCAGCTAAGACTGTCAGAATTAGAGTTTTTGGGGGGGGCCTGTTTTGGAAAGCGGGAAGTCATTACCAGTTTTGTCTCTGCCCTATCCTATCTCCGAGTCCCTGCTTCTCATGGACTCTGGCCTCAGGAGGTGTCCCACTGGGCTGCTGGCCTGAGGACATCCTGGCAGAACGGTGGGAGCTGGGCTTTCGCTCTTTGTTCCACCAGTTTCCATCTCTGGCTCCTAAATCTTTGTAACAACAAATCTTTCTCCTGTTCCCCACTCTACACCTCTCCCTGCCACTCCCCACCCAACAACAACAGAAAAATCACTTTTAACCTGTTCTTCCTACCTCTGATTTCCTGATCTCTTTGGTGTCCAGAGGTGACTGTTGCGGAATTCTTAGGGCTGCCCTGGGGGGAGGAGGAGGAAAGAGTAATTATGGACAGAAAGAAATCCTGGTCCCTAGATGGGCTGCTGTCCAATTCCGTGTTACCCTTGACAAACCTACCCAGGGAAAGTGGCCAGAGCAGGCTGGAGACAGGTGCCGCCAGCACTTCCCCAGGGCCTGGAAGAGCCGCACTGTGGGGGCTCAGGTGTGTTTGGCAAGGACCCAGTCCATGCCTCGAGCCCCGGCTTTCTTCCTTTCCCCTTCCTTGCCTTTCTCCTTTCATCTCCTTCTGTCTCGTATCCCCCTCTCTCCCCCGACCTCCACCGCAGACCCCAGAAACTCTGAAGAAATCCCCCGACCTGGGGCCTTGCTCCCCACCAGCAGGCCTCTTCGTGGATTTCCTGGGGCTCCTTCCCTGCAGTGCCTTAGGACTGGGGGCTGCCACGGCCTCCCCGATACGGCTGCTGAGATGTGGTCTCCAATGTCCAGAAGGGACTCAGATCTGAAAGTGGAGCTGATTGTATCTCAGAGTGTGCTGTTTGTGGGAAATCTCAGCAGGCCTCACATTTTGGAAAACAACTTTAAAACATCTGTAAAGTTTGGACACTTGTTTTGGAATAGGCGGACAGTGGTCCCTGGCAGATGTGTAAATGATCAAGTCACCCAGCTCAGGCCAGGTGCTTGGCAGGGAGGTGTTTGGCTCTGTGGTCCCAATTCTCTGAGGTGCAAGCTTCCACTCATTCTGCCCAGTGTCCAGCGCAAGTTTGGGCGGGGACGCGGTTGGCAGTTCCGAGCAATGTCCAGGGCTGCTACGCCTGCCCATCCTAGCCCCAAGCCGGCGCCTGAGTCACAATTTTAGTGTGCTGTGGTACCCTCGCCCTGGATGGGGATGCTATCAAATACATTCTCCTCCCTGCCGACCAGATTCGGCTTAATTTGAAGCCTGTTTACTGTCCTGGGGAAAGGTGAATTCAGCCGGGTCTGCTGATGAGGCCGGAAAAGACAGGATCTTGGCCACTTGTCCAACACGCGGGGCCCACCAGCTCCCGCTCCTGGCCAGGAGAATTCTGCAACTGCGGGAAAAGCCCTGGAACTCAGTCTGAAGCTTTTCGATAGGAAAATAGGTGCGCGCTGGGCGCAGGGAAAGACAGAAGCCTGGGGTCAGCCGCCATCCCCACATCCCGATCAACCTTGTTTCGGCTATCTTCGTCCTCTCCCCGTAAAGGCCTCCTCTAGATCTTCAGCGTCTTTGGCCCGGGGTGGTTATGGCATCCCCTGCAGAGAAATCAGCCTTCTGAGGATGCCCCGGGCGCTGAAGTGCCTGGAAAAGCTAGAAGCTTCCCCCACGTGTGGGGGCAGCACAGTTCGCGCCGAGATCCAGGAGAAACTCAGCACCCCCGCCTAAGCACCCCACCCATCCCTAGGCTAGGACGGCTGCGGGTAGCGGGGGAGATTTTGCAGACAGCATCCCCCCTTCCTCCTCTCCTCCACCCCCACCCCACCATGTAAACACGGGGACTTTCTCGAGAGCCCTGGAGAGCGGCTCTAGTGGCTTCGGGGCCTGAAACCCCAGGCTTGGCGTGTTTGATGTTTAGCATCCCAAAGCGGCTCCCCACCCCCGCCCCAGCCTGGGAACCCGGAGCTGTGGGTCGGAGAGGTAGGAAAGAAGCCCTCTCTTGCCGGGGGACTGGGCCGGGTCCAGAGGAGGCAAGAAGAACGGGAGTGAGTTGCTCGGAGCTGGGCATAAGGGGGCCTGGGCTGCGGCCTCCCCAGCAGGGGCTCAGGCATGTTCAGCTGGAATCCTCCCGGCCAGGGGCCGGATGGGTGGCAGGGAATGCCTCAGCAGCCCCGGGAGCGGCTCTGGGAGAGAGCCGGCCCTGTGGGAAGGAACTTGGGGCCCGCGAGGGAAACCAGAGCCAGGCCGGAGCCGGCTCCGCGGGACTTGCTCGGAGGCGGGGGAGGCCTGCCCGCTCCAGTCCAAGGGCCTCGCCGTAGGCAGCTCTTCTTCCCAGTGCTTAGGGCTTGGCCTTTCCAAAGGAAAGACTTATTCGGGAGCCTTCCAAGGGATTTTAAAGCTCCTCGGGCAGGGTGAGGCCTAGGGAGGCCATGGAGGTCTCCGATTTTGAGACCTCCCAGAAGAATTCTCAGACTTTGGAGGCCGCTGACTCTCCGAGTGCATTCAGCGAAGGGCGTCGGTGCGGGGCTATCTCCGCGCGCGAGCGAGTGCACAAAAGGTAGCGCGAGTCTCTTCTCAGGCGACTCCAGATAAGAGGAAATGAGAGCGGGGTTTTCTGACTTCCAACTCATTAGGGACCAGGTAAGGTCAATGCTTTCTCTATTATGTCTTTATCTTAAAAGCGGGTCAATTTAAGATAAGGGGAAAAAAATCCAGGATCTGCGTGAACCTTGCTGATAAAGACTGACCCCTTTCCAGAACTAAAAGCTATCCAAGCAGATATTCATTTTCTATAAACAAGAGAGTTGTAAGAAGCTGCCTTGAATTCTGATCGCATGTCTCCAGTCGCTCTCTAGACATCACCCCAACCCCTAATTATTAGAGCTGGAAAGCAGAGTAAGCCTGGAAGCGGGGTGAGTGGGGGTATTATTTGTGGAGAAATAGAAAGCCTGTGAATCTGAGATGATAGGTTCTAAGGCATTGTGTGCTGGTTTGTTTCAAATGTGAGTTTCTTTCAGAATGGAAGGAATGTGAGAGACATGGGTATTGGGAGGGATGATGCTGAATATTTTCCTTGTTCAGCCAGGTTCCTGTAAGATGCTGGACACCATCTTCCTCTGGCCCTCCTTGCCCTTCTGGCTGGTGCAGTTTTGATTGTGCAATTACGTTCTTGCAGCTTCAGGCCACCCTCTGTCGGGCCCATTTTGTCTCTTGTCTCAACTTGGAACACAGACAATTTCTGGTGCCTCTGTGGCCAGTAACCCCTGGAAGGAGTGTTGTCCTATCCCCTATAACCCTCAGTGGTGAGCTTGTCCACCCAAGTGGCTGGAGGAATTGGGTATGGAAGGGAGTAGAGGAAAGGATGTGTTTTATTCACAGAGAAGGCCGGGGTCTGCAGCACCCCCATCCCCGGTAGTTGGGTTTCTGAACTTCCCTTGATGATTTTCAAAGGAATGGAGGAGGAGTAGACTCAGCAACTTGACAGCAGTTTCTGTCTCATCTGAAGCCACAGCTGAAGTGGCTGGCTACATTTCTCTCTGATAGTGACCTAATGCCCTCCTTGGAGGGCATCGAGGCATGGGCCCCCAGACTTCCCATTTAATGATGTTTCCCATTTGGTCTCTGCTTCCTAAACATTTGTTGTCTTTGTTATTATGATTTGTAGCAAAGTTTTGGAAAGTGTGAGATTTAAATCCATTTTCCTGCTTTCTTTTTTTGGTTACTTGCAAGACACT